AGATTCTTCAGTGGGAAAGTGTGGTGCATATTGTTGTATCCTGCATTAATGACATCAGGCATCATGGCCTTTTACTCATTGTCATTTCCAAAATGTTATCTCAGAGATAGATGTAGAATATAGAATAACAGAATATTATACCTTGCAGACAGAAGTCAGATGGCATAGCAGAGACAAAGTCCTCAAACATTTTTTCAGTCTTTGTCATGAAGTTAATGTCTTGCTCAAGGAAGAATGAAAGGGTCAAGAAGTACTTCCTAGCTCTGGATGGATTTTTAATTTGGCTTTTGTTCTTAACTTATATGACTGAGTATCTGAACACATTGACTAAGGTTGAAGGGAAAAGGAAAGCTTTTGTGTGACATGTATTCTGAACTGAAAGCGTTTGAAGCAAAACTAAACATTTTTGTGAAGAAAGTTAGTAAAAGTAACTATCCAAAGGTCTCATGCTTCAGTTAACTAACATTTGAGAAGGGTGGGAATTTACAATTCAATTTTGAAAGACATGTCAAAGCACTAAACCGATTGTAGGTGGAATTCCAGAACAGATTCACTGGTTGCCATAAGAATGGAAAGGAAGTAAGAATTTTTCAGAATCCCCTTTGAAGTAGTACCAGATGATGCAAGTTACATTTTTCAGATGGAATTAATTGGTGTGCAAGCCAGTGATCATCTTAGAGACATATACAAAGAAAAGAGTCTGTTATTCTGGTCTCCCTGGTATATTTATCAATCTAAAGAAATTTGCTGCAGGCATGTTCACAGTCTTGGGCACCACATACATCTGTGAACAAACTTTTTACAAGATGAAAACTGTGAAATCCAAGTGTGGGTCAAGACTTACAGATGAACAGTATGTGACATTTTAAGGTCATCTGTCACAGATCTTGACTTGGACATTAATGCCTTGGCTAACAGAAAACAGCCACAAAAATCACACTCCCTAGTTTAGCCTGTGTAGCTAGATAAAAGGATTCCACAGTAAAATATTGGATTGGATTCAGGTTAACATTTCTTCATTGACCTCTGCATGTTTACTTTTGATTTAAATCAGTAGGTTAATAATTTTGTTAGATTTTTATTTAAGATGTGGCCCTCTTTAGGTGTTGAGCAGTCTAACATAGCTTCATGCATTGGAAAATTGGGGCTCCTGCTTGATACAATTAGCCAACATTAGGTGTGGTTTGTCAAATTAAGCAAATAATGCTTAAATTTTTTACAGTCTTATGATATTATAAGATTACTGTATATCACATGCACTGCAACCATCCATCACATAAGTACTTGTTTACATATTATATTAAGCAGTCAATATTTCTGCTACAAAAAAGGGGGGGAAAACAAGACAAGTATTGTAGTATTTTAAACATTTATTGGAGTATGCATTTTCATGGATTACAATACCACCATGTCAGAGAACGATAAGGAACTCCAAACCTTTCTATTCATCTCATCACTGAGGGACAACTCAAAGAAGTAAACCTATTCCTTATATATTATTTCACTTTGAAAGAAAAGAGGGGGAAGGAAGGGCTGAAAATGTGAGAAAAGGATGTGGCAATCTGTGTGTGGTTCCACAAGCACAGCACTGTTTCTGTTAATCAAATGTACCATCTCCAAGATCAATATAATGTTTATCTCTTAAAATGAAAGCATGTGTGTGGTGTCTAGAAATTCCAGCACCCTCTTTTAAAAACAAAACAAAACTATCCAAGTGATAAAGGCATGTATAATTAAATGGGCACGGAATGTAGGACATAATATTGAACGGGATCAATGGGAACGAATTTGGAAAACAAATATAAAATTAACTAAATATGTTGTATTTAAAGAGAATTTATACAAAACGTTCTACAAATGGTACATGACCCCCACAACACTGGCTAAAATAAGCACCCAGATTTCAAATATATTTTGAAAATGTAAACAAAAAGAAGGAACATTTTATCACATGTGGTGGATGTGCAAAGACGCCCAAAGATACTGGTGTAAAGTGAATCAGATGCTACAAGAGATATTAGAAACGTCAATACCGATGGTACCAGAACTGTTACTATTGAATATCTTGCCAGATATACTAAACTCTGAATGTATCTGTTCAAATCCACCCGCTCCGAGGGTACCCCTATCCCAGCTGCTTCTTACCTTACCCTACCTTTCTAAGGAAAATAATTTTAAAAGAAATTCAACTTTATTACATCTTCCCCCTTCTCTATATTTGATGTGCATTAGACTATTAGTTTAAAAAGGATGTGTTCACATTGCATAATTGTGCAAACAGGTAAATATTGATCAGGGATTTTTTTTCTGTTCTCCCCTGCTGCCAAATGTAGACTGAAAGCATCTTGGAACTGGGTTCTGATTGTTCTTCCTTGTGTTAACCTGCAAAGCATGGCAGGCAGGACAACTTTGTCTCTTTTCCCCCCCAAGAATGTATAATGTATCACATACTATATTGTTCCAGTAATTCTTGCCTTGATAGTTCATTACTTGGAGTGTGCATTGCTCTACTCTTGATAGCTCAAGAGAATTGACATGCATTGTTGGTTTCAAGGCAAAGCAGCTGATGTTCCCATTTACAACCTTCTTGGAGACATGTGCCATTTGAGACCCAAGAGTTGAAAAGCCAATTGTCTTCATGTTGCGTACATGCATTGTTTTAAGGATGGCAATTTTTAGAGTATATATTTTAATTGTTGTAAGCCACCCAGAGACCTTTGGGTAGTGTGGGCGGCATATAAGCTAAACAAACAAACAAACAAATATTCTGATGTCATGTGCCCCCTGAGAAAGTGTAATTGAACTCAATAACTGTTGCTGAATATTCAGATTTCATAATGAAGCTTCAGGGCATAATTCTATGTTTCCAACAAAAAAAAACCAACTGGATTTCTATGCCTGTTTCCCAGTTGGGGAGGAAGATATATGCACAATGCAATGTAGTATCATCCTGGAAGACTGGGGCTTTGGATTGAATGGTCTGTGATTATGGTTAAAGTCCTTTACTCCTTTCAATGCATTTGTCTGTAAAGGAGGCGACAGTAGCCCAAAATCTTCCAACAAAACAGGTTTATTATCTAACAAGTTATCAGTCTCAAATATGTTTACATTATTCAGTTCCGCTTTTAACAACAACTCATACTTCTTAACTTCCATCAAACCAGGTAACTCTCCTTGCAACAAAAGAGGAGATGAACTCTTAACTCTAGGTGCCCATTTCTGCCCAGTGCCAGAGGTGTCTGGCATACTGTCTGCCAGGGCTATGGTTGTGGGTGGTACACCCAGCCCAGCTGTGGCTCCCAGACTTTCTCTCCCCCCCCCCGTTCTGTATCAGCGGGGGTCTGAAAGGACTGAGCCCATGGGACCTCCCAGTTGGCACCATACATCTCAGATGAACTCTTAACTCTAGGTGCCCATTTCTGCCCAGTGCCAGAGGTGTCTGGCATACTGTCTGCCAGGGCTATGGTTGTGGGTGGTACACCCAGCCCAGCTGTGGCTCCCAGACTTTCTCTCCCCCCCCCCGTTCTGTATCAGCGGGGGTCTGAAAGGACTGAGCCCATGGGACCTCCCAGTTGGCACCATACATCTCTGTTCTTTGTAGGTACACCCAGCCCACCTGTGGCTCCCAGACTTTCTCTCCCCCCCCCGTTCTGTATCAGCGGGGGTCTAAAAGGACTGAGCCCATGGGACCTCCCAGTTGGCACCATACATCTCTGTTCTTTGATTTCTTCTTCCCTCCTTACCCAGGCTTTATATTCTTTCTTCATTTTCCTTTCCTCTGTCTCACCCCAATAGAGTGATTTTTTTATAAGTTTGTCTTCTCCATTCTTTCCCTGCATATTCACTGGGTAGTCGAAACTACCCATTCCGCTGTCCAGGGATCATCTTGTATCAAATCTACTAAGTCTTCTCTTCTTTTCCTTTTCTTTCTCACCCCAATAGAGTGATTTTTTTAATAAGTTTGTCTTCTCCATGCTTTCCCTGCATATTCTCTGGGTAGTCGAAACTCTACCCATTCCCCTGTCCAGGGATCTTCTTGTATCAAATCTACTAAGTCTTCTCTTTTTTCTGTAATCTCCTCCTCAGCCCAACGCACCTCTCTCTCTTCCTGTTTCAGACTGCTCCCCACCTCCTTTTTCCCTTCCTTTCTATCCTCTCATTTCCCCTCCAAATTGCCACCCCCTCGTGCTTCTGTACTTATTTCCAGTTGCTTTAACCCTCTTTCAATGACCTCTGCCTCTTCTTCTTCTCTGTTGATATGGGGGTCGGACGGTACACCCTGGAGAGTATCCCTGGGGTTACCCTCATCCTCACAAGGTCATGTCCATATTTGTAGCTGCATTATTTATGTCGGGAACCTGTTCCCAGACCTATTCTCATGGGGACCAGGACCTAAACCACATGAAGCTTAATCATGAAGCCTAATGTGATATCTGATGTAAATATTAAGGGCAGATTCCTGTGGTGGAAACATGGAATGTAGTGCTCCATAGACATAGCACTCTGCAATCTCTGGCTTGCAGTTATGAAAGGTAGAGATCACTCCATTGAAAGCAACAGGGTTTCTCCCCTTAAAAGAGTTTAGTAAATACTCCTTTGTGCACATGCTGGGGGAAGAGTAATTGTGCAAGAGACTGTTGAACGTGTGGAGTAAAAACAAAGAGGATTTTGCCTGAAAAATCTCACTGTACTAATGCTTATGAAAAAAATATCTTTTTAAAAAGTGTCACTTATGTTTTTTTAAATCCAGAAATGTAGAGTCCAAGATTGTGTTGATTCTCTAGTTGGTTTTGGAACTAATCTTATTGTGGTGGCATAGAGTTCAGATTTCTCAGAATCCCAGTCTGTGTGGGTGCCATAGCTGTTCTGAGAGGTGCAGTTAGTTTCGTGTTGCCTGCAATAGCAACTTGCATTTTAAATATATTTCTGAAACTTCTCAGACGTGACAGGTGGCTAAGCACTAAAGCAGAGGTCTTAATCAGTTGTTTGAAAGAAAGCTACAAGTAGATAGCAAAATGCACAGGGTCAGTATTTTGCTTCAACGTGTCTGTTTTTTTTCTGGTGGATTGGGGGGGAAAACCTAGATTATCTTGGCAGCTTTATAGTAAAAATTAATCCAAGAGTAGTCATTGGAAATATGTTAATTTTCATGGTTATTTGTCTTTTTTGTATTATCATTTCAGAACAGCTTGTTTCTTTCATGTATTACAACTCCCAGACTCTCCCAGTCATCATGGATGACATGGCCCCTTCCCCTGCTGACTGGGGAGATGTCCATAAATCTTGCATCAATTATTTATTTACTGTATTTGTTTATTTGGCTTTTATCCCACTTTTGTCCCCTAGTGGAGACCCAAGACCACATCCAAAACATTTGAAACGAACAATTAATTAAAAGAAACAGTAAAATTTAAAAGCATTACGCAAAAACTATAAATTTTTAAATTTAAAATTAACATCTCAGTTGCCTCCGGGCTTTCCGAAAACCTCTCTATATAGGCATGCTTTCAATTGTTGGCGGGAAGATATGAGGGAACTGCACCTCCCAAGTGAGGGAATTCCATAATGTATCTTTCAAGGAAGGCATAGTGAACATTATGTTGACTGTGTAAAGGGTTTTTTACACTGTGGATTATATATTGTTACTTTACATTATGTTCTTGCTTTTTTAAAAACTGTTCTCAGCTTATCTCAGTTAGCAATCAGTTCAAAATATGGTATCTCTTTATTTATTTTCAGAGCTGTGGAAATGCCAACTCAGTGACTCTGCCAGAGACATTATTGTTTGTCTCGACACTTGATGGGAGTTTTCATGCTGTTAGCAAGAGGACGGGGTCAATTAAGTGGACGTTAAAAGAAGGTGGGTATGAGAGATGTCATCTTGTCTTTGTTAACTTTGATATCTGCTAAATCAATATAACGCTGGGAACAGTTCCAAGTAGTAGCAACCTGGCTACATGCTGAGCAGTCTGACCCCTCTGCCTGTGTGCTTAGATGTAAGTTCTGTTGATATCATGGGCTCATCTCTACATCAGTGCACATGAGAGTGCAGCTTAAGGTTGTATGAATGTCTACTCAAATTAAATTAGCTTGTGAAAATTAGCTTGGGCCTCTTTAAAGCAGTACCATGCCTTGTGAAGACCTGTGACCTGAAGCTTACGGTAAAGACACCTCGGAGAGCTCTGATTTGACAGTGTTAGCGATGTGTTCCAAGACCTCCGAGTTCTGCTGTTTTGATGTGTGAGAGTGCCAAGTTTAGGCTGTGCTGTTGTCCACCAGTCTATGTCGGTGCTTGGGAAAGTGTACTTTCTGTGCCCATATTGGCTGCTACTCTCACACAAAAAGGAGTGTGGGAAGGTACCATCTGGATGTGCTACCTTTCATTCTTAGATAAGAACTTGGTGTTTTTATCCATGATGGGTTTGTTTCTCTAGGTTCTCCCTTTGAACTAAATTGACATTTTTAAAATGAACTATATAAAATAAGTTACTGGTGGGCTCTAAAACATAGGGACAGTATGTTTAACCATGCTGCTTTTATTGTTGAGATGAATACAGTGGTGCCTTGACTTACGAACTTAATTTGTTCTGGAACTCCAGTTGTAACTCAAAATGGTTGTAAGTTGAAGCACCATTTCCCATAGGAATGCATTGAAATGCAATTAATCCATTCCGGCCGAAGGAAAAAATCACCAAAAAACCCCCAAAAAACAAAAAAACCCTGCAAGACCCATAGGAAATGCGATTAATCTGTTCCAGCCAAAGGGGAGGGGAAGCAAACAAACTGTGCAAGACCCTTCAGAAATGCAAAAAAAGCAAAGCAAAAAGCAAACAAACCCTGCAAGACACATCAGAAATGGGGGGGGGACGACAAACAAACCCTGCAGACCCATCACAGCATAGAAACATAACCCCACCACCCAGCCCAAAACCACGCTGCAAAACCCACCCAGAACAGTTTTTTAAAAAGTAGAAAGCAGCACTTTACCAAGCAATCTGAAGCCTCCTCCAAACGCACACTTTCTTAACTGCTGGGGTGAAAGAGCTACAAAGAAGCAGCCTCTTCGCCTACCAGTGGTTAGCAATTTGAATTCCCCCCTTTTCCCCCTGCCTTTTTCTGGTTGTAACTCAAAGCTCTGGTCGCAAGTATAAGCAAAGTTTTGCGGCCGGAGCTGGTTGTAACTCGAAATGGTCGTATGCCGGGACGTAAGTCGAGGCACCACTGTAGTTTGTATGATTATACAGTATTTTAAACACTGTTTACCAGGAAATATGATTGCTAGTGATTATTCAGAAGCACCAGAGACTTGAAAGGAGTTGTGTTTTTTTTCAGTCTAAAATTGGTTTTGCCTATATTAAAGGGCACTTTAGTTTTGTCTCATGGAGAAAACTGTTTTACCCAAATCAAAATGCCTCGAGGTGAGGTCTTGATGGTCTACTCTACCTGAAACATATGTGTGTGATGCAGATGTACTTTATGAAGCTTTCAAGTTGAAGTCAGGATCCAGAATACTGTTAGCAGACTTCCACTTGCGAAATGAAACTTCCCCTCTTCTCCACTGTGCAGCCCTCCGAGTCCCACTTAATTTATTCCAGAGGTTCTTCTAGATGTTGTCTGCTCCTCATTCCACTACAGAAACAGCACTGTTGGCAGGAAGAATGAATTGGTTACAGTTGTAAATTTAAAAAAACAACAACAGCTCTTTCAATCCATATTTATATGAAAACAAGCACAATCGCTTACTCACAGCTTATTAATATGCTTAATCTTTTTCCACTTCCGTAAAATGAAATTACTATGATTGGTTTAATACTTTTTATTGGAAGCCGTGTTGCCTTTGCAGTCAGAATGGCACAGTTATAATCTATGTTACCTGTTTTTGACAGACAAGGTGGGGTGGTTTTTCACAAAGCAATCAGGCTTATTTACCTTTTGAAAGTGGTTCCCATGGAAGGGGAGGATTTTCCTTCAAAATACAGTATTTGTGAGTTATTTGTCATCACATCAGACCACCAAATAAATAAACAGATAAACTGGATAGTTTGTGTAAAGAGGTTTCAAGGAGTTTTTGTCCCTCTTGTGTTTTCAGCCATTCAAATACATCTCGCCCTGCTGCTCTGTAAAGCTGCAGCAGGGCTTGAAATCGGATGCTGTAACTTACCATGCCAGCAAAAGAGGGTAATTGGTAAGGAAGGAAAGGTTTCTGCCTCTTTCAACTTGCCAAGAGTTGGCTCAGTTCCTAAATATGTGTCAGGTTGCTTTGGCGTGCATCAGGAGAATTGAGTTAGTGTGTGCTGAATCATGTCCACACAATAATGGCACAGAACTATTCTTACAAAGTCTTGTAAGAGACCAGCTCAGGAGGAGATGCCAGACTAAGAACACCTTGATAAATATGACAGTGGAGTTTTCAACCCCTCACCAGTTGCCCTTCATTAGTGCTACAGAGCAAAATTAATCTGCTAGACCAGTCAGCTTCTGTAGACAGAATGGGAGGGGGGGGCATGCTGACCTTTGCTCAGGAAGCAAAATACTTTGCCCTGGCCCTGCATTCTTTCTGAAAAATCTCCTCAATCTAGTATATGTTCATAGGTTCATAATCAAAATTAGGCATTTTTTAAGATTAATTTCTACCAGTTTTCTCATTCTCATGCAATCTTTTGTTTGGAGAAGCCAGTATTAATAGCTGTATACTCTACTATTCTACAAAAATGTTGCATGAAAATATCTTAATTAAACTGAGAATATAATACTGCAGTTTTTTCTTGGTTGCTTATAGACCCTAAAATAGATGCATGTTGAATATAGGACTTTTGCTTCGTATGTATTGATCAAACAATAACAGATGAGACGTTTACTTGCAGAAGGCTGCTGAACTTGTTGCTACCAGTGATGTGCAAAGCACTCTAGTTGCTTAAATTACTGCCCTAGTTTTAAAGCAAATGTATTGCAAAATATCATCAGTATATTAGAACAGTCAGACAGGATAATCCAGTTCTGTGGAAAGCTTTATTGCATCTGTGATGTTCATCTAGATCCCTATCTAATTGCAGGCTACTCAATTGTTCTATCATAAGGTACTTAATATCCATTGGCTTATGTCCATATACAATAAAAACCACAGTTCTCTTCTGTAAAAAGAACATTAAGAGTCAGTAATATTAGGACTGCTTTGAAAAGCATTTCTATGTTATGTTTTAATATTATCAAATCTCTTGGGTCAGGATGCCTAGGATCTAAGCTTCTTTGCTACCTTTCATAATGGGGAGCTATAACATTTAATGCATTTTTACAGTGACTGTTTTGGTATATATCTAATTAAATGATAGCATAGCTGTATTGGACCAGAAATGGCTAGCAAGTTTTCATCCTGTTGGCTGGCTGGTTTTTATATAAGAAGAAAATGATGATGATGAAAGTGTCAACCCAGTGTGCAACGGCAGTAAAGAAGGCCAATTCCATGCTAGGTATCATTAAAAAGGGGATTGAAAATAAAACAGCCAACATTATAATGCCATTGTACAAAATGCTAGTGAGGCCACACCTGGAGTATTGAGTACAGTTCTGGTCGCCACACCTAAAAAAAGACATAGTGGAACTGGGAAAGGTGCAGAAGAGAGTGACTAAAATGACGACTGGACTGGGTCACCTCCCTTATGAGGAAAGGCTACAGCGTTTGGGGCTCCTTAGTCTAGAGAAAAGGCGCCTGAGGGGGAACATGATCAGAGACGTATAAAATTATGCAGGGGATGGCTAAAGTGGATAGAGGGAAGCTCTTTTCCCTCTCATGCAATACCAGAACCAGGGGACATCCACTCAAATGGAGTGTTGGGAGAGTGAGAATAGACAAAAGAAAATATTTCTTTACCAGCATGTTGTTAGTCTGTGGAACTCCTTGCCACAGGATGTGGTGATGGCATCTGGCCTAGATGCCTTTAAAAGGGAATTGGACAGATATTTGGAGGAAAAGTCCATCACAGGTTACAAACCATGATTACAAGGTTACAAACTTCCAGGCTTAGAAGGAAGGTATCTCCAAATGCCAGATGCAGGGGAGGGCTATCAGGAGACAGGTATGTGGTTGTCTTGTGTACTCCCAGAGGCATTTGGCGGGGCCACTGTGAGATACAGGAAGCTGGACTAGATGGGCCCTTGGCCTGATCCAGCAGGGCCCTTCTTATGTTCTTACGATAACTGGTAATCTTGCAAGATCTGAGCTGTTACTGTTTGGGACAGGAGCACATATACCGCTTATGTATTTCATTATTTTCAGTATTGAGCTGCTCAGTTATGGGATCCTCTTCAGAAGCCCCTGTACTAGACAATGGCTGAAATCCAGTTGCTTGGTATAGTAAACTGCAACTAGAGTAGATCCACTAAGTCAATAGAACCTAAGGAGTCCTATTGTAGTTGCACCTTACTACACTAAGCAACAGGAGTTCAGCCAATGTGAGAAAACAAGTAAGTAATCCTTCAAGTTTTATATCCAAATCATATCCCAGCCATGCGTGTCTCAGAAGAAAGGAAGCAGGACAGGGTTACCACTAATTAAACAAATCCTCCATTTGTCCAATATAGTAAATGTATTTTAAAGAACCTTTATTTCCTTATCACCTTCTGTTTTCAAAATTATTCCCTTAATGTTTCAGTGCTAGGACTATACAAACTTGCTGCTTTAATATCCAGGTACAGTACATTGTGTTACAAATAACATGATATATGAAAGTCTCGAACTGTTAGCAAAGAAACAGAAGTAGAAATGTCTCAAAAAAGCCTTTATTTAAAAAATGACTACATAACATGTGTCACAGATGGAAATAATTAAGAGCATCATCCTCTGCATCCCCTTACTAGGGTATT